ACCGCAAACCGACTCCGCTGGCTACTGTGCTTGCTTCCAATCTGGCTTGTCTACCGGGGCAACCGCTCTTCATGATGGGGGATTCCAAGACAAGTTGGAAATGAGTCTGCTCTCAACAAGGGCTGTCAAAAAGATTTGAAAACCGGAAAAGACGAATACCGTCAATTACTCGCTCAGGTATAGTAAAAGACCCAACTTGAAATCTCCCCAATGACTGCTGATTGGGCTCACGCTGCTGTGGATTTAATACGCTACTATCTTGATTCCTTGCTATTCGGATGGCACCGAATTGGTGGGTGTTCGACGAATGCCAGGACGGTATGGACAGATTGAGGTCAACAAACCCATTCCCTGGGGAACTGACATGCCGATGCATCCATTCTGAATCCCGCTACAGCTCACATTCCTTGGGAGGGTTTGAATCAGCCGGATAGGGGACCGAATGTAGCATAGTATAGAAGACTCTCGGGAAGGGTTTTAAGAGACGTAGAGGATAGTAACTCAAAGTTTTGGAGGGCAAAGAAGTCTATAGTGTTGATAAGTAGGGTAACTGGGGTGTCTCTAAGCTGTCTTTTCATTATTGAAAGGGTTTGGTGTTAGTGAGGTAATTCAGCATATGCTATCTATTGGCCCGGGGGGGTCTAAGTACGGGGTTCAGAGATGAGCGACAATGGCGTGATGGGAAATGAATGTATACTATGATATAGCGAGCATAAAAACAAGAGATAACAGAAATACACGAAGGACCGGCAGGACTCTAGTGCAGCACGTGAATAGAGTGATTCTTTGAGAGCGGCGCCTCCAACACTCCGTCTCTACGCTCCAGGACAATGGAGGATCTACTGGGAGAACATCTTAACTATGGGGAAAGAGTATCGCAGATTTTGCATTACTATAATCTAGATCTGCCAGTGTCTACTACATCCTAGTCTCCTCCAAAGTACAATTATTCCCGACTTTCCGGATGCTTATCTCATTTGTTCACACCATGCGTGTAACAAAAATCAGTTCCACCTCTGACATCCAAAATCTTGGCTACGAGCCATGGAGGACACCCTCGCCAACTTGAGATTCGCCACTGTTACCCAGTATACCGTAAAAGTATCTTCCCCAGAGCTTCATCTCCGAGCTCGAACGGATAGATGGGGCGGAGCAAAAGTTAGACATATATGACTGTCGGGGCTCAAGGCCTGCTTGTTAATCCATCTATGAAGTGTCGAATCTGATGTTGAGGTCGACCACCCGAGTGATGTAAAATGCACATTGTGATGTTTTCTTGCCCCTCATTCCATCAATCAACTTCCCCCCGCCCGGGATTATTTACATCCCATGGATGTTCTGTTTTGACACCACTTCTCTTCAACCTCAACATCCTCCCTCATTTCACTACCATGGCAAACCTTCACCAAACCCCCTCATCAATGACACCAATGCGTGCTTCAAGCCTTCCTTCCGGGACCAAAACATCCGGCAACGCAGACCGTAAACGTAAGCCAGCCGAAGCCGTTCGCAATCCTGATCAGCTTCCACAGAACTGCAACCTCTGTCATCTGGTCCAAAACCATTACAACAGCCCCGACCCTCCGCCACCCCGACTTCTCCGTCTCTGCCGCTTCCACGAGCTCTCCCGCTCTACCAGCAACACTCCATACCCGATCACTCCAGCTCCACTCAGATCAGCCGATGAACATCAGCTCCCTCTCAACCCGGATATCGCATTCCAAACACCTCGCCGACCCTCCGCGCCCACCCCCACCTCCACCGCCTACAGCTCCCCGTTTACGCCATACCCGCAAACCACACCCATCCCAATCATCCTCCACCCCTCCAGCGCCCCACAAACACCGAAATTAACCGCAACGCCAGCTCCTCCTCCACTCCCACACCCGGATCTCCCCCAGCTGCCCACATCACCCCTCCTGAAGCACCGCAAATCCTTCAAATCCCGCCCCACCCAACTCACGCCCTCTCCCGACCCAGCTTCAGCTACACCACAAACATGGATCACCATTCGCCCCTCCACCGCCGGAGTAGTCCGAGTTTCCTCCCGGTCTCAAGAAACCTTCACGGAGAGGTCTTCTCACACTCTCTCGCGGTCTCGCTCTCGAGGTCAGGATACTATCCGGTTACGGCCCGCACCCTCTGTTAGCTCAGTCCGCAGCGGAGCATCGACGATCCGTGTTGTTCGTGCTGAGGACGACGCCGACGAGTTGCGGGCTACTAGGACTCGTACTCGTACCCCGCAACGCCATGGCACACAGCGCCAACACAGTGCAAAGAAGGGGAGTACGCCGTCAGCACGTCTCAGTGCGATGAAGAAGGCGTTGCAGAGGTTGACAACACCGAGTCCGAGGAAGTATACCAAAACGCCAACAACTACACCGTTCTCAGGGCGTTATGAAGGTCCAGGGAGGAGGAATTTGGAGCCGCGATTCCGCGCGGAGGTGGGAGATCAGAGGGTGGAGAGTTATGGGAGTGTTGGACGTGGTGGGAGGAGGGATTTGAAGGGGGTTTTGGTGGGCGTGGCGAATAGGTTGAGGATTTCGCCGGGGAAGATGAGGAGCCCTGGCCTGGGGTTGGAGGGCTAGTGGATATTCGGAACCTGGAGCTGAAAAGGAGGGTGAGGATTCGATGTGAGATTGAAAGGATTAATGATGTTGGGGATATGAGGAGGTGGGAATGATGATAATGGAGTAAGTAATTAAATGGCTGTAGATGGGGCCATCTGAAGTTCTCCGCAAGCTCTAAGGGCTTAATTGACACTTGTATCGTAAATTTTCCACATACGAATCGAGTAGGATGGATCATTTGAACACAAAACCCACTGTATGCTATAACTACTAACTGTTCCATGCTTACTAATAAATACACATTCATGTTACCCCATATATCAAGTGGTGAACGACTACAAAACGACAACGTCTGCAAATGCAGAGGAACTACTGTGTAGGGGGGGAGGATGCCCTTTCAATACATGATTTTTCAAAATAACAAAATTCCAAATCGGCTCTTTACAATATTCATATATTATCTACAGTGGTAGCTGGTGGACTGCGTCTTTTCTTCTTCCTACACACCAGTATTAGTCCGGGGTTCCAAGTTTCAACTGATAATCATAGTACGGAGAACGGGAACTCACATTTCAGCACCGTACTTATGTTTATAATATAACAATCACTCTCCTCCTGCGCTTCCTCTTTATCCAGCTTGAGATCAATGACCACGCGATTTTGGTGCACCTGATCCGGCGTTGGCGGTGGAGCTGGTGGAAGCAGTCGACTTTGCTCTCGCAACCACTTATCGTACTCCAACTCTGCTGCAGAGAGAGTGAGGTGGTCGATACCGAGCTGCTCACGATGAAGAGCGAGGCAGCCAGCTCACGGAAAGAAAGGCTGAGCAGGCAGAGAAGATGAAGGAAACAAATGGAGATGAAGATCACGAGATGGTGGAGAGGGGAGGTGCACAAGCAGAACAGAGGATTAAGTTCAAGTACAGAAAGAGTGGTGGATGTTGCTGGTGGTGGCTCACCGCTTCCGCTCCCCGCCATTTTTGTCCCTTCCCCCCCCCCCCCCCATCCTTCTCTTCACTACTGTTTGCTCCTTTGCTTTGCTTTCTTTCTTTATTTGTTCTGTGTGGTACTTTAGATAATTCAGATTCCGTGTCTATTGCTTTTCTCACACCATGTCCCATCCAGTTCTGGAGGCGGCGGGTCGTGTGATGTGTCGACAGTGCGTCGGATTGCTGTCGAGTACTCCACTGTCCATGATAACACACAAGTATCACAGGACAGAAAGGTCAAGGACGAGATAAAATTGGGATTCATTTGCAAACTCCTCAACTGGGGTTCCATACCGTCTGTTGAACTTGAACTACTTTAATCAAAATTTGGGTCTAGGCCTCTGATTGATTGATTGATTGATATCATTTAAGCGCATGCGTTCCTTTGGGATATGGCGCGTCATCTACTCTACAGCTTCCGCCCTCCCCCTCCCCTTTTAGTTCTGCTTCTTACAGGCCTTCTGAATACATGGAAATTCGTCCACAGTCAACCCTATTTCTCGCCGACCCTTCGCGCTGGCGATGGCCGCCTTTTGAGTTGTGCTAGCGGGCTGCTAAACACGTTCTCTCCTCTTCTTTTCCATTATTGTGTATGTCACCTCCCCTCCGCTCTCTGCTCTCTCCGCCCTCTGCTCTCTCCGCCCCCTCTTCTCGGTGTCTCCTACTCCCCTCTTTCTTCCGTTTCAACTCCTCCCTCCCCGTACTGCTCCCACTCCCATTCTTCGGCCCTTCTCTCTTCTTCCTCTCTTAATTCGGAGTCGTTCTGTACCTTCCCCACGTTCGTCGTCTCCAGGTAATTCAGAATAGCCGCGGTGGCCTTCCGTTCCGTGAAGATTGTGGAGAGTGCATGTCTTTTTGTGAGGCCGACCTGCTTTAGGTCTTTCCACAGCTTTTCCTGTTGCCTTCTTCAGTGTTTGCATTCTTTGAAGAGGTGTTCTCTATTCTGACGAGGTTCTCCGCACCACCAGCATTCGTCGCTTATGGCTCTCCCTATCCTTTTTAAGTATTCCGCTGTTAAGCCTTTGTCTGTAGTGAATCTGAAGTATCTGCTCGCGAGGCCTTTACAGGTCCTCATTGCTGTTCGGTCAGGTATCTGAGTTCGGGGGAGTTTGAATCGCTGCGGGTAGTAAGGGTTTAGGCCTTGATTGTTTGATTGATTTGATTGATTGTAATCATTTAAGCGCATGTGTCCCTTTGGGATATGGCGCGAGAACTAACATACAAACGTCCCCTTTCCGCAGCATCATACTGCATCTATCCAAGCTCTATTTCATCCGTTTTCAACCATTTTCTCGCCGGCCTTGCTGCCTCTACAGTGGCCGCCTTTTGAGCTGTACGCTTGCTGCGTACTTAGACTCTCCTATATCCTCAAAGTGTTTAGCCTCTGACTCATTGAAAATAAACTCCAAGAATAGTAAACATTTCTAACTGTCATCAACATCGGGGTTGTGGCGCAGTGGTAGCGCGTCCGCTTTGCACTGTCTGAAATGCGGAAGGACTAGGGTTCGATCCCCTACTGCTCCATTTTCTATTTTCAATCACCCATTACGGGTGTCATTTTCTCGTGCCAACCAGCGTGAACCAAATTTCATCAACGCGGCTGACACTGTGAATAGATGTCCGTACATCTTCGTTAATCATACATTTGTATCATCATTAAATTAACAACTCTGATTATTCCTACTGTCAATTCCACCTGGTCTCGATTTTTATGCTCACTCTCTTCATGTCATGGACTATTCCCAGCTACTGCCAGGGCATTGAAAGCACTGGGCATACCTTGACGTCCTCCATCCACCGTCTCTCCTCGCCCCTTCATCTCCGCCGCCCCATAGCCTCCATCAACCGCCCCGGATCCGCAGGCTCAAAAGTCCTCCTCCGATGCTCCGGGAAATCGGCCATCCTAATACCCTCCTCTGATTCCCGTCGTCTTTGCCTCTCAACATCTCTATTCTCATTTCCTTGTGGTATGTGAGCGTGCCGGCGGTTGTAACAAACGATGAGCCCCCAGGCTAAAAGCAAGAGAAGGATGGTGCTGATGAATAAGCAAGCGACGATGAAGCCGAATGTTATGCCGCTCTCTTTGGCGGTAGAGTGGCGGGGCTCATAGGGTGGGGAGGGGGTCGGGGTGGGTACGGTGCTGGGCGCCCTGGGAGAGGTTAGTGATGGGTGGGAGGGTGGAGGGAGGGAGAACGACATGATGTTGTGTCTGACACTGTGGATATTCTGTGACAGTGGATGATGTGGATTGAGATGCTCGTGGAGGGATGCTCGCGGAGGGATGTGGAAGTAGCGCGGAAACATTGACAATGACAGGAGTTGAAGCCAACAGAATGGGGAACAATCTGCAGAAGTTGATTCAAGTTGGGGGGAAAAGTAGTAGGAGGATGATTGAATGGTGATATGATATGGACATGCTAAGTTGACACGCTTATTGGGAAACATAACAATGTGAGGACTGACTTACGAGTGGAAAGCACAAAGTATGGGGTAAAGAGCCGAGATGGGCCTTACGGTGGAAGGAGGATGAAGTGGAGTGGTGGAAGAGAACACGAGTTCAAAAATGAAGAGAGCAGAGAAGAACGTAAGAACTCCACCACCAGAGAGAAAACTGAGGAGAGAATTACAATAGACGCAGATCCAAAGCGCTCGAATAGTAAAGGCCCAAGTGTTAACCAGCCAATACACCATATGCCCGATTCTGCATGTCATTCATAGGCAGTCACTCTGACACGGGATTTTGTGGTGCTGACGTAGTGTCACGTGAGGATACTGGAACCCAACCACCAGAACCGCCCTCTCCCCTCAACGCGCAGTCTTCATCACCTTCTGCCTAGCGAAAGAGCGCTTCTGCGCGCTGTCAAGATCTGCATCTTTCATTCTTCGTCTCTACTCGCTGTATCTCAAGGCCTCTTCCCTGCTCTACTAACTAGCCATTCTCAGTCGCTACACCATCAATGTTCATCACCAGGCACGCCGCATGTGCTGTAAATCCTCTCGACCCACACCAGCTCCCACCAACGCCCTACACGCGACCTCCCTCACGCACCCCTGTCGACCACGTCGCACGAAGCTCGATGCATCTGCACGCCATGAAGTCACTCACCGTCTCCCACAACTCCAACCACGATAAAGCTCCGTCATGTCCAAGGCAGCTGAGCCATCTTCACCATTGACCAGTCACCTGGGATCTCGCTTGACACCTACTACTTAAGCCTTGAGTCGCCTAAATATGAGGGTCTGTGAATGCTGCGAAGCGGCATCCGCGCGAGAGATAATTGGCTCTATCAACCAGCTCGCTCCTAGTCCTCTACTCTTCACTGCTTTTGCCTTCTTATTGCTTCTCTTGCTATCTACTCCATAATCTTTGCTTCTTTGCCTCATTGCTGAGAGCCCTTACTCTCTCCGTTGCTTCATCGATATCTGTTTTCCTGCTTCTCAGCCGATATCAACAATGGCACACGCCCTCAGTACCCTGAAGCTACCTCCACTGCTTCAACGGATCCTTCGAAAGCTCCGAATCCTTCCTACCCTGCCACCGTCTCCTATCCAACCCGGCGAGTCTGTCTGGCTCTACAATAATATCGGCTACCGTGATGCTGCGACGAACCGATGGGTGGTCCAGTTCATCTGCGCCTACTTCTACCGTGGAACAGGCAAAGACTTAGCAAAAGTGGTGGCCAATATTACGACCATGATTGGATTGGCCCCTGGCGCAGATCCAACCACGGAGCAGACCATAGCTAATCGCGTACAACCGTTTTTGGACACCATACTGGAGGGAAAAACCGTGCAGGTGGCATTTAATCAGGCTGGAGATGGCGGTAATGAGAATCAGATATTTACATTAGGGCCTGGTGGGAGTCATGGTGTCAGCGTGAACGACGTCTTCGTTGCTGGAGACTGGAGGGAGGGTAATGTAGTCCGGAGCAGAGCCATCATGCCTGGAACTGGCGAGAGTAGCGGATTTCAAAGCTGCAGTCTGATTAATTTTGAGACTCGTTTCGCCGACCAGGAAGGGTGGGCCGTCGTTTCTGGTATGCCCCGGATGCCTTATACCTATTCATATTGATGCTAACAACAACACAGACATTGATGACACGATCAAAGTCACCGAAGTCCGTGATCGCCTTTCGCTCCTCCGCCACACCTTCGTTCTTCCCCCTGAAACCGTCCCAGGAATGCCAGAAGCCTACTCTCGCCTCAATAGCCTCCTCTCCGCCCCACCCTGGTTCTACCTCTCCGCATCTCCGTACAACCTCTTTCCCCTCCTCTCCGCCTTTGTCGCCTCTCACTACCCCCGCGGCCAACTCCTCCTCCGGGAAATGTCCTGGCAAGAACTCGAATCCTTCATCGTCACCATCACGATGGGTACACAACAGTACAAAGAAAACGAGCTCGAGGTTCTAATAAAGAACTTTCCGAAAAAGAAATGGGTGTTTATCGGCGACTCGACACAAAAGGATCCCGAGGCATATGCGGCTGTGTACAGAAGACATCCTACAAATGTTCGCAGGATTTGGGTTAGACTGGTTAAGGGCGTGGATGTGCAAAAGGAGAAGGAGTTGAATAGTAAGGAGAGGTTGGAGAAGGCTTTTAAGGGAGTGCCTAGGGAGATTTGGAGTACGTTTGAGGACCCTGAGGTGCTGACGAATGAGGTGAAGGTTATGGTGGCTGCTGATGCGGGAAGAGTATGATGAGTTTGTGCGCAGAGTTGGTGTAGGAGGCAGGGGGGTGAACGGGGCCGCCGGGATTTTTAATGCTTGTGATAATGATATATGATGGAATGATGTTTACTTATGAATGAGACCATGTATTGTATTCCTGCGGTGTTTTGTCTTTGGGTCAGAGTTCCTGTACTTTTTTTTTTTTTAGTTGAGCGTTTTATATTGTAGGATTTTATTATTATATATCATCACAATCTGTTTTTATTTATGATGGCTGGATGAAATGTCGCCTATCATTACACTAACTGACCCTATCCATGAAATCGGATTGTTTGGATCAAGCTTGACAGTAAAGTTGCACCTTGGGTAGGCATTGAGGGCTATAGGCGATCTTGAAGATGGAAAATATCATGTCTGAGTATTTGGACTCATGGAAAATCACATGCGTGTATGGGTGATAGATTCAAGTTTGTTGGTAATAACACTCCACCAAGCTCGCGTTTCTATGCGCCGAAACCCGGTCTCATGGCTGTGAGTGTTGATTGACAGGCAGAAGCGGAATATCATAACAAAGCCGAAGAAGAGCCGGAGTGATTATCGGATTAACGGCGTAGAATAGAGATGCTTCCGTGAAATTAATGGCTGGATGTTCGACAGCGGAGAATTAGATAAGTTAAAAGTACTATCTACATTACATCGTATCATCTTTTACATACAATATCGTCCTTCATAAGGCTTATCCCCCATACATGGGACCTACCATCACCAGTACCACTACGTTAGCATCGAATCGAATCGGAGGTCATATACATCGTGAGCTTGAGTATCATGGAACAGTAATAAACTTAAGGAAAGAGGGGGAAAAGGAAACGGAAACGGAAAATACAAGATTACAAAAAAAAAAATGTAGAAAGAAAACACTAAAAAAGCGCAACACGTGAGATATTCACGACTTCAACACCAATTGTCACTTCTGCATCTCACCACCCATTGCCGTTCATATTCGCCGGGTCGCGGTGTAACGGACTATGTGCCGAGTGCTGAAACGGTGCTTGATGACTGTTCATGAAGTCGACGTTGACGTTATCGACGTCCATGTCCATGTTGAAAAAGGAGTTCTGGGGGTTATGCGGTTCGGGGGGCGTGGGGAAGCTGTTGAATACCAAATCCGTCAGAATCACGATACATACGCATTCATCTCACTCGACAATGGGGGTACGAACCTTTGGGGCAGGTTTTGGAACATTTCTAATCCGGGGGACGCGTTGTGCGTCATAGTAAAGTGTTGGGCCCCTTTGGGACTCGGAAACGCATTCTGAGAATGGTGAGGTGGCTGGTGTGATTGGTGTGATTGGTCCCCATTACCGTTCATGTTCAGTGTGCTGTTGACGGGCATTTCTCCTTGAGTAGGACCAAAACCAGGTGTAATTGGAGATGGATGACTGCTATTACCGAATGGCAAGCCCGTTTGATAATGATTTTGTGCCCCGAAGCCGTTTGGATGAGTATGCTGAAAGCTATTGCGGTTGGCGGGAATGTTGGTTTGATACTGGGCGCCAACGCTGGGGGAGTGTAGAAGCCCATCATTTCCCATCATAACACTCCCTCGGGGATTTGGAACTCCATAACCATTGGTGTTGATGGGGTGTTGATTTGGGTTACCAAGTACGGGGACCGTCCCATGATAAACACCGAAACTATGAGGTTCGACGACTGAGTGCATCGGGGGTCCGCTGGTACTTTGGAATGTTCTTCCTGGATGAGATTGCATGCTCATGGGACTAAAATAAATCAGCAAAGCTTAAGAGGTGAGGAGAGGCGAGATTGTCACATCATTGGGGGTAAATTTGTTGTACC